TAGTTTTGAAGACTGATGCAAACCAGCAGAAAGATCCCACAGTAGTAGTTGAGCTAGAAGAAGACAGGGAGAACTTTTAGTGTAAGATACAAACCTCTAACATCTATAAAAATTACACTTAATTTCTTCCCTTTCACTTCTGTCCTACTCTAAACTGCTGTTCTAAGCTTGTTCTCTTTGAAAATGTTAAATACTCACTGTCTATTGAATACAATGACTCTGTTCAGCTTTCTCACAGCTTCACTGAAAATGTCTTGTTTTCCCTTTCAGTCTCTGTTTCACACAACATCTGGTTTTTACCTTGAAAACAACCCCAAACATATGGCTGAAAGTCCCAAAGAACAAGTCACAAAGCTGAGTTGTCTGTGCAGCCCAGAAGGGGAGCATTAACAGGAGGAGGATGTCCAAAAAACTCAGGTGGAGAATAAAGGTGTCCGATAGGCTCCACAGTCTCCTTTTTTGAACCAGAACTCTCAGGAGAATAATATTTCCCAGGATTCCAACAAAAAACACTACAGCATACAGAGCAGGGACCCACACTGCCTCACTGCCTCTTTCCACAGGAACATTATCCACTGTGCTGTTAAACACTGTAAACACTGTAGTGTTATTCACTGTATTCGCTGCATCGTAATCATAATCACGGGTGTTGTTCCTGCCATATTCCAAATAGTCATCCGACTCCTTTAAGATGCCGCCAGTATCCACATGCAGCTGTGCCATGTCCATATACTGTGGAGACAAAAACAGAACAAACAAAAATACATCAGTGCCTCAGAAGCTGTATATGAGAAAGTGAAGCCAGTTTGCTGAAATTTCCCCATAGGAAACCCCTAACACAGACACACCCCACTCGCAGATTGGTAGCTTAAAGCCCCTCAGGCACAAAAAGAGTTATAACCACTTTAACTTCTTCTCAAAATTGCCACTTCATTGCGAATTATTAATATTTGTTATTTGTCATTCATGTAATTCATTATTTTATGTCAGAAATTGTCATAGTGACACAAAATTCTGGAATTTCTAACAAGGTCCAAAACAGAAAGTGAAGCTTTACTTTATTTTAGTTTCAGCTCTCCATTGTGTTATCCTTTGTTTTCTTCATGTAATATGCAGTTGTTGGGCAGCAGGACTAGAGCAGAGCATGGGAGACAGAAGTAAAACCAACCAAGTACTGAGGAAATCCGAGAGCTTAAAAACACATGAAATAAAAAAGGAGAGAGGAATTAGCCTGGGAAAACACAAGAAATCTTAAATAAGACTACTCTTAACTAAGGACAAAGAAAAACAAACTCGAAACACTGGGTCAAAGACCAAGGACCATGGCACTACATCAATGTTTTAGATAAAAATAATGCAGTTATTAAACACAAGATTAACCCGGTGTTTCCAAAACTTTCTGTTCATTATTTCCCAGCTGTGTGTTTTTACATTTTAGCAATCAGTGGTTTTTGGCAATTACTCTTCCATTAAGCTTGACAGGGAGCCTCAAGCAAACATAGAAACTTGCAACTCCCTTGTTATCTGAGGATGGCTGTAATAAATAGCATGTAAATGGACATGAAGAGAAAAACATTAACATCCACACATACAAAGTATGCTTGTATGAGATAATCTGCAATAAGCACCGTTTATTTTGTTGTTTTCTGTACTTCCTAGTGCATCAGTAGTTGAACGTGATAGGACAAAAATAATTTTGTCTATTTCGGGCTCACACCTGCATTTGTTGGCAGGTTATAATATTTCTGATTTCTGGAAAGTGTTGTAATAGAGGTAAGATGACATGAGTTGGCAGAAAAATGATTTGTCATCATCTTTGTGGTGAAAATAATGTTAAATTTACCAAGAAAAGAAAACACAAGCATAAAACACAAAACTTTGACAATATCTACAGACGAACATAATGAAAAACATAACTCAAAATCCATAGAAATTGATGAAGTAAAACAAAGGAGGAGGTGGGGGCTGCAGAAGAATTTTTAATGTTCAAGTTAAGTAGTTAACTTGAACAGCAGTTAAAAACTTCATGCTTCAGGTGCTTTTACAGAGAATTCTGACTGACTGAAAGCCGTTCCTTGAGTAGGAATGCTATATTCATCCAGTTATGTGTCGAACCAGGTTAACTAAGTTAAGTTTGTTCCCGTTTAGACATCCAGGCTATTTTTGAAAACAAAAAACCAAACAAAACCAAAACAGGTTTTCTCCCACACGAGGCTATAGCCTTGATTTTATAATACTTTCAAAAGCACCCCTAGACGAGGATTTTACTTTCAATCTTAAAGACTAAATTCATTTTTATAGATAAAATATTGTGCTATCCCCTCGTCTTCCTATCAGTGTCTTAATGCTCAGAGGATGTTGCTATCGTCCCATTAAATACAATGACCCTGTTCTGCATGTTCAGCCAAGGATCTGGATTCAACCGGAAATACTGGAGCACAGTCAAACTTAATCTTAATCAAACTTAATCCAAGTCAAAAACAACTTCACTGCTTCACTGAAAAGATCTTGCTGCAACAGCTTCAACTAAAAATACTAAAGATAATCTGAAAAAAGAGAGGGCTCTATACAGGCTCAGTCTCTGAGACCTATGTCTTTATTGTTAACCCACTTCAGTGTTGCTTCTTTCTAACAACCTGTACCTGGCAAACTGAGGGGCACAAAACTGACAAAGCACTACAATAAGAGCCGCTAACACTAGAGGGAGCTGTTGATATTGTAAAATTGTGAGATGGGGCGGCGGGTCAGGACTGACAAACCTAAAACTGAAGCAGAATCCTGACTCCACTCAATCCCTTTTCAAGTGGGGTGCAAGATGGTGTTTAAGTAAACCTAATTACATTAAGTTCACAGTCAAAGACCAATGTAGGAGCTGAAGTAAAGGTAAACAGCGATAAATTGAATCCTGTGCAGACATGTCAATGTAAATACAGCATACAAGGCAAAAACAGAGTTTGTACAATTCTAGTGAGTTTCAAAGTGAGAAACAAACAAACAAGCAAAGAAAACATGGAAAGCAGAAGAAATGGTGAGTAAGCAGCTTCTTAAAAAACTATTTATACCCCCTTTATTCCGATATCCCTTAATAAAATCCAGTGCTACCAATTGCCTTCAGAAGTCATGTAATTAGTAAATAAGAGTTCACTTGTGTGAACTTTAATGTCAGCTTAAGTACAGCTGCTCTTTGAAGCTCTCAGAGGTTTGTTAGAGATCACTGGTGAACAAACAGCGGAAAAGTTTAAAACAGAGTTAGGTTATGGAAACATATCCCAAATTTTACTGAGTACTGTTTAATTAATCTGAAGAAGAGTGTGACACATCTCCAAACCTGCTGACACATGGTTGTCAACCTAATTTGGCAGCCAGGAGGGCGAAGAGAACAAGCCAAGAAGCATGGTGACTGTGGAGGAGCTGCAGAGATCCACCTGAGCAGTGGGAGAATCTGTCCACAGGACAATTATTCATGGCGGGAGCACTCTGTTCATGCACTCTACAAATCTGGCTTTTATGGAAGAGTGGCATGAAAAAAGACACTGTAGAAAAGAGCAGAGGTCCACACAAAGATAGATGTCAGTGACATGGAAAGAGGACATGGACCTAACATACTAAAACAAGAAATTAAGAAATAAAAATACCAAACTCAGAGTCAGCAGAAAACAACATAGTCAGGAAGTCATTGGTACAGAATTTAATGTTACAGTTACAGAGATTTCTGACTGAAAGTGATCCTTTGAATAGGAATGCTACATGTCTCCATCTGTCTCATGTGGTAACCCAAGTGTATTAAGTTGGATTTGTTAATATGTAAACATCCAGACTGCTTTTGAAAATAACAGGATTTCCTGAGGATGTTGATCCTACCCATGGCTACACCCTTTTTCCTAGAAAACTTCTTAAAAAAAACACCCTTAGATCTTTCTTGCTACAAAATTCTTATAATTAATTTTTGTTTTAAAAACTCTTCACACACTCAGCATAGGCAAAGTGAACGCAAAGTACAGTAAAGCACACCACCGCTGGACTCTAGAGCAGTGGGGATGTCTTTCTGGAGTCATAAATCAC